TTTTTTTTTTTTTTTCCTTTAAGTGTTTAGAGTTGGGTGCTGAGGCACCCGAATCCTTCACTGAGGACTAGCCAGTTATTTTTTTTAAAACTTCCCAACAAATTTAGAAGTTATTGGGCAAATGGTATGAAGTTTATGCTTCTTCTAAACAGTCACCCCTCTGAAGAACTTTGGCTGACTTGATTTATTCAAAGTGGGTTGTACCTCTGTTAGGGGTAATATATACCCTTATCAGAAAACAATGGCATAAAAGCTGTATGCATATAATAATGTCAAATGGTAACTTGCTCCAGAGAGAAATGGGTGCAGTTTTCTTACTTTCCTCCAGGAAAAACCTTATAGGACCCTTAATGTTTTTTGCTACTCTGTGGCGGGAAGGACTAATCTCAGCACCACTACAAATTTGTAATGCTGCTGTGGTTCTAATGGGAATCGCCAGATATTTGGATAATTAAACATTTCCACGTGGTCTCATCTTTGCTGAGCATATGGCTTTAATCTTGTTTTATAGTGGCTAGCTGAATTAATTCTCTTGTTCTGGACACTTGTCTAAATCTGTTCAAAGCAAGGGGTTAACTTGTGCACTTGGTATATTTTTGCCAGAGGAGTACTGACTGACTAACCTTGAATAGCAGCAAGTAGCATCTGAAACACGGTGTAGTGTTTGTTCCCAGAGTAGCTGGCATTTGTCCTTTACTTCAATGGTAAGATAATTGGTGGCAGAAACTTTACCGTGGGAAAGGTGAACTCCCGTCATGTGAGTTACGGTGTGAATCGGTACAGTGTGAATCAGTAACTTTCTCACGCTGGCATGGTATTGTGTTCTTGCTATCCGTGTTTGAGTGTCTGCCATTTGTTTGCTATCCCATGGTGGCAGTGTACCTAATGAATAAGGGAGATTTAATGCAGGAAATAAGTATTTATGCATGACAAGGAAGGTGATAAACATTCTCTTGTATAGAACAATAGTCTGGCTGGATCTTGCCAGATAATCAAATGGCATTTAGAATTTTAACTAGATGAAGCAAAACGTCTCAGGTGCGTGTGATCTTTCAAAGACTTATTCGGATGTATGTGAAAAATGACAGTGAAAAATGAATCTCAGACTTCTTATGCATCTTAGGCGGTTGGATTTAAACTGGTGAATTTACCTTAAGGCAAAAGTATAGGGACAGTCTTGATACTGTGTCAGGAGACCTAGAAAGCCTGCTTGTGGTGATCTTTTAAATACCACTCTTTAAATGAGTTGCTGGACTATGGTTGAATTAAGGCCCCAGTACAAACATGGCTCTTGTCTGACCTGTTACTGCAGTGAAGCCTGGTTTTGTGGCACGTCTGCCCAATAATTAGTCCTGCACCCTCCCCAAATTCCACTCCAATCACCTTCCTCTGCTCTATCTACTTCTCTGCTTTCAGCTTCCGGCCCTATATTCCACTGTTCCATGCTCCCTCCTTGATCTGCCAAGTGCTGCAGGTTGGGGCTGAACACTTAAGGTCTTTCATACTTTATGCATAACCCAGCTAAAGCATATTTAGGACTTGCCCCTGAAAACACAACTGTTAGAACCCAGCTATGCTACAAATAGGAGTTCTGTCTTAACAAGGCCCCTTTACTTGGTTGGAATTGCAGTGCACTCAGTCTGAAAACAGACTCAATGAATGCAGTTAATCCTTATCGTTGAGTAATTCATGTCATGTGACAAGCTTAAGATAATCTTCTGAATGGAATAAAATAACTTTTGATATTTTAAAAATACTTCTCTCTTAGAAGTACTTCACAGCTAGCACATGCCGCTCAGCCCCAAGGCGGACCCTTACAATGATTCAGCCTTCAGCAGCAGGCTGCCTTGTTGGCAGAGGCAATCAGGTATGAATTATAAAACTCACTTAATCTGTAACATAAGCCAAATGTTGTGGGGTTAATTATGCATAAGGTAGAACTATAGCCTATATTGAGCATACAGTAAATTGCATATGATCCATTAGTGGTGTGAATGGTACTTTAACTTGTGTTTGCATCCTTTGTAGCTCTGGGGCAATGAATATTAAATCTAGCATGACTGCTTCAAATAGTTTGACAGCACTTCAAAAGAACTACTTGTTTATCAGATCTAGAGAACTAATGCTGGAGAGATTAAAAACTTATTACATTTGCCAGAACTAAATTTCAGTACAAAAAATATGGAATGGGTGCAGTTGTGGCACAGAAACTGTACTGCGCTTGAAGGACAGAGTCCCTGTTGCTGAAAGGTGTACAAATTGGGAAAACATTCCTTGTCACTTGCGATAAGAATTCACGAGAGTACTATTTCTGTTCAACATTTTAATATCTCAAAATCAAACTGCTTCTACATCACAGCCTACCAAATCCTCAATCAAGAGGAAACTTTGGAATAACCACTTAACTTCGAAGAGTTGTAAAGCTGAAGTTGTCAAAAGAGAACAAGAAAATGAGAGTCTAAATGACATCACTCAAGCTGTGGATCTTATGGTAAAAAGTAAGTTCATTGTTGTTTGGCATGCAAAAAAAAATGGTGGTGGTGGTAGAAACTTAAGCTGTACAGCTTGTCCTCACTTTTATTTCTGCCAAAACTAGATATTGGTATCATTTTATACTGTTGCCAACAGTAACAGATTTACCAAGCTTAATCAATTCTGTGTCCTTTTTGTGAGCTAAATATGGTATAAGGAATTGGTCCTAAGGAGCCAGTGCTTAGCTGTTTCAGAACCAATAACACGCTTACAAGCTAAGCTTTTAATCCTACACCTCAAATCAGCTAGGCAAGTAGTGTTCATGAGTCTAAGCCATGGGTTGGATCTGGCCTGCAGTCATTAGATCTGGCCTGTGAGTCTTCTGCTGCAGGTGGGGATAAGCACCTGCCTGCCTTTGATCCAAAGTGGGACATTTTGGCTTGCATCTGGAGAAGGCTGCCTACCACTGGTTTAAACAGTGCTTAAATAAAGCTGCAATTGTGCTTTGGCGTTGACCTAGGAGTTTTGTCTCCATGAACACGTGTTAACCATGCTGTTCTAAACTGGTCTACTTAAATAACATCATTAGTTGAGGAGAATTCTTCTGGTGTGGTGTAGTCTTTTTGGCACCTGTGAACCTCACTTAGTTAGCTTTTTTTTTTTTTCTGATTTGACAGTCACTTTTGACTCCTAAGTAGAGGGACCATATGTGCTGGCTTAGCCAGGGGAGTCATGGATTTAAAGGCTGGTCAGTGAGAAATTTTAAAACTAGCATCCTGGAAACAGGTGCAGGGCACAGTCCAGCAGGGAGGTGGAGCGACCAGCGTGCCAGGCAGAGGGGCAAGCAGGCAGGCACCAGTGGCAAGCTGCCTTGCACACCACACCTCCCTGTTTCTACCTCTGCCTGCAGCAGTGCCACTAACTTGGGAGGAGGAAGAAGGGGAAGTGTTCCAGACTTCCCTTTCTCCCATATGGTAACCCTATGATGAGTGTCTTGCAACTGGGATCATCTTACAATGCATGTTGCAGATTCTTTCTTCAGCCTCCTACAGTCACCAGAAAATGTATCTTTAACACTTGTGCCAAAAAACAAATTGCTACAGTTCAAGAGCTTGGTCTAGTTGTTGGAGATGCTTGCCTTTTTTTTTTTAAACAGGGCTCAAAAAAAGTGCTCATTTACAGTTATTACTAGATGTACACACTCCACAGTAGTTAGTAGAGCTCATAACTGCTTTTTAGCAGGTTGTAATGGAATGTGTAGTAACAGATGGCAGAATTGCCCAAAACTTTAATGTAACAATTTGAAAGCTTTAGGAGTTGGCCCTCTTGGATTCAAGTCCTTGGCAAATAACACCTCTCACATGAAACTCTTACTGCAGAAAGTCCCCCATCTCAGTACTGGAAGGAAGTGGCTGAAGAAAGGAGGAAGGCTCTGTATGAAGTACTTCAAGAAAATGAAAAGGTAGTTAATTCCCACTTTGCAGTTACTTGTAATAGCAGGTTTTGGCTGCTGTCCTGCTGAAATGTTTTAACCTGCCTCTTTTCCAGCTGCACAAAGAAATTGAACAAAAAGATGGTGAAATTGCCCATTTAAAAGAAGAAAATGATGAACTGCTGTTACTTGCAGAGCACGTGCGGTATATGACAAACATGATTGAAGTAGGTACAAAGGACTATGGGGGCTCTCTTTGTTTTGTTTTGTTTTGCTGTTGTTAACCTAGAACAGGTTTTCAGCCAGGGGTACATGTACCTCTGGGGGTACTTCTGATGGCCTCAGGGAGTGTTCCAGCAGTGGGTGCCCCCACTGACCTTTCCATTTGGACCCCCCACCCCTAGGTCGCCAATCGGCTGCCGGGGTTACAATGATTCAAAAAGGCTGAAAACCCCTGACCTGGAACATTAACTATGGAATGTCTACTAAACTGTGACTTCCATTTTGGGTAGTAACTACTCTTCCATATTGTCAAAAACCAGCCTGACCATGGTGTTAGTCTGCTGTATTCTGGATATCTGCTTTTCCCATGAATGTCTTAGAGGCATAGTTTAATGACTGATTGCCTTAAACTGCTCCTCAAACTTGATTCTTGCCTGCTGGCCCAAACCCATGGGGAATGTTGAACTCACTAGAGCAGTGGTGCTCAACCTTCTGGTCCCACGGGCCAAACAAGTGGCACTGTGTTGATCTGTGGGCTGGATCCAGTACAGAGTTACTGAGTGGGGTTGGTCCACAAGGAACAGCAGTTAATACTACCACTTTTCCACCTGCCACCAAAATTTATGGGCCAGTAGGGAGCCCCATGGGCCAGATCTGGCCTGCAGGTTAGAGGCTGAGCACCACAGCACTAAAGGGATGAGCTCCTTGGCTTGAGCCCTTGGTTAAAGTGAGAGGTTCGTTAGCCAGCTCAGGGGATGTCTGCCAAAGTCTCAACAGACCAAGCAAGGAGAAGACTGAAGGGACTCTGCTTCACCCAAATGCTAGCAAGCTCTCTGAATGGGGTGTTGGTCTGTCACAAGATTCATGGAGATCTATAGTTCATGTTGCAAGAGTGTAAAGTGTGTTGTGGTGTGTGGCTCTTAATTCTTTGCTAAGCATGTGTTCCTCTTGCAACTTAATGCCTTGTCTTCCCAAGAAGTTAATTGACTGTTGAGCACCTGAGGTCATGGAAGGTCTAAGGCCCTGGCTCAATGGCCAAGGCAGCTGGATTACAGAGGCTCAGCCCAGAGAACTGTACCTGCAAGTGGGCTAAAACTAACTCTTAAGTTTGGTGGTGGTGTTTTTTTGGGTTTTTTGTTTGTTTGTTTTTAAGCTAATGGGTTTAAACTTTGCTTTTCCATTTGAGTTTGTGGCACTTAATTCTTTTCCCCATAACTACTGTATTTACCCAAATGCGAGATGACTTTGAATTTAAGATATAGCCAGTAATTGTATTCTATACATGGAAACATATTTTTAAATGTTAATCTTTCCATATATGGAATCTAACTATTGGAGGGTTGTTTTAATTAGTCTATCCCACCACTGCAGCATGGGAGGATGTGGGGGTGGGGAGGGAGAGCGGGGCAGGTGAGCCCCTGTCATCTCCACAGCCTCTGGGCAATAATAAGACTTCAGTAGCACTTGACATGGAGGGAGGAATTTGGCTCCCCATGCTGTTGTGAGGAGAAACATCTGCCCACTTCTAACCCAAGGTGAGTCATTCAAACCTGCAGCTGGAAAAAGTTGCTGACTTGCTGTCCAAACAGTCATGCTAATGAAGTTCAGACATACTATGGGTGTTATCTGTGTAACTTGCAGTGGTATGTATTACCACATCTTTGCCTCATTATCTAATTGAGTTGAAATCTTCTAAACTGGCATCAGTTGTGTAGACATAGTTTCATAGTTTCTAGGGTCGGAAGGGACCTGAGCAGATCATCAAGTCCGACCCCCTGCCATGCCAAGAAGGAGTACATCTAGCCTCCTCTTAAAGACCCCCAGGGTAGGAGCCAGCACCACTTCTCTTGGAAGTTGGTTCCAGATCCTAGCCGCCCTGACAGTGAAGTAGCGCCTCCTGATATCTAGCCTAAATCTACCTCCTGCCAGCTTGTGATGGTTATTCCTGGTCACTCCTGATAGTGCACGGGGGAGCAGGGACTTCTCCAGTGGCTGCTGGTCTCCTCTGACTAGTTTGTAGCAGGCTACTAGATCCCCCCTCAGCCTTCT